GACGAGGCCTGCTGCAACGGCACCCTGCGCAAGCCGGCGCGCGCCCGCGACGACGGCAGCGCCCAGCGCTACAGCGCTGACCCCACCGCCCTGGCGCCCGAGCGCGCCGCCCGCGCACACCTCGCCGACGACGGATACATGACGCCCATGCGGGACAAGGCCAAGACAGGTAACCGCCTCCGGCCGCGGCCTCCGCTCGCGCCACCGTCTCCCTCCGCTGCTCTCCACAGAAAATGGCTTCCTCAGCCAACTCAGCCAGCTCACACATTCCAACTTAATTTTTATTTGTTTGCAATGGGATTCATTTGTCTTCACTTAGTTTTTCTATTTAAAAGTTCCAGATGTCCCTAATTGTCAAGTTTCCAAGCCCAAGACAGGTAACCGCCTCCGCTCGCACCACCGTCTCCCTCCACTGCTCTCCACAGAAAATGGCTTCCTCAGCCAACTCACACATTCCAACTTCATTTCTATTTCTTTGCAATGGGATTCATTTGTCTTCACTTATTTTTTCTGTTTAAAAGTTCCAGGTGTCCCTTTTTGTCAAGTTTCTTTTTTTTTCCCCCACTCTTTGGTGCTGGGGAGGAACGAAGGAGAGGAATGAGAAAACAAAACCCCAGCTTATGCAAGCACAAATAGTTGTAGTTTTCAAGAAAAGGATCCTGCTTTGACCAACTGTAGCCTGCACTTTATTTTGTTTATTGATCATTTTGGGGTTTTTTGTCGTGGTATTGTGCTTGGTAAATGTCATGTGGAACGTGTCACAGAAGCGATACACAAAGCTGGCATTTTATACCCTCCAGAAGTCTCGGACTGAAAATGCAAGACGGGCTTCAGAAAGAGCATCACCGCAAGGCGAAGCCTCCCTAAATATCTGCCAGCTTAGGCTGCTACATTTCCCGGTTTCCTTCATAGCGTTTTTTTTTTTTCTTTATATATATATTTTCTTTTCAAACAGCAACAGCAGTAAGGGAACATGTCATGAGTCATTTGTTTTCAAACCTTTGCTATGACTTCAAAGAAAATAAACCAGTGTAAATATAAAGGTAGCATGTTCTGCACGCTCTTGTGTGCGTTTCAGCTTTCAGATCAAGAATTTGAGCACCATTTTAATTTCAAAGTAGCACAGAATTTCTCTCTACTCAGCATATTTCTTAAGCAAACGTTTAGTTTGAGCCATGGGTGCAAAAGATTCTCATTAAGCCAGACCCAAACGTTTGCATTTAGTGTTTGTGGCACCTTCCCTGAGAAGAGCAGATTTGAAGGCTGGCCTTTGCAGTGTGATGGGGTGTTACAGGAGCCACAAGGCCGGCGTGCCCAGCCCGTCCCTTGCCCCAGGTCTCTCCAGCCTCACTTGAGAGCCCTCAGTGAAGAGCCCTAGGACCTGCTGCTCCTGGCAGCCAGTCTCTTTACGCTTTTCCCTCCACCACTGGCTCCCTTCTCCTTTCTGCACAACCTCCATGTGCCTTACAGCCTCTCCACAATTCAGCTACATTTTTTTTTGTGGTGTTAATCCACAGAAAGTCATTTAAGGCGGTTGCAGCTTGCTGCAGCTCCTGGTTCAGTGCAAATTTACGGCTCTCTCCTACCCTTCCCAGGGCTCGTTTGAATCGTTTTTTTTTCATAATGCTTCGAGGCCTTTTGTCCTTCAGGGATGAAAGGTTTTTAATCAGGCAAATTGTTCTATTAGAAATGAAGCTGTCTTAGAAGCGAGCCCTTGGGGATGTTTTTTGTGCAGAGAGGCTTAACCAAGATTTCTGTAGAGCTTTCTGGATGGAAGGGCTGCAGAGCAGGGTGTTTGACTGATAGGCCCAAGGTTGCACAGGGAGTCAGCAGCAGAGAGAGAAGAGCTCTGCGTGTTCAGCTCTCTGGATCATACTCTGAGAGGAGAGCCATGATCAGGCAAGTCAGTGGGTTTGGCTTAGCAAGGGCTGCAGTTTAGTTGGTTTTTTTTCCAGCTTTGAGTCTGTTTTCGATGACTCACACGATCCCTTGGAGGCTCAGGTCTTTGCTTTAACCTTCACTGTTTGCTTGGGTTGTAAATCCTGCGCTTCTGCGCGGTGCCTGTTCGGTGCAGTTGGCACCTGACCTCGTCTGGGAGTGCTTGCAGCAGCGGAGGCAGGAGGGACAGGTCGGTGTGGCCTCAGAATGGCCCTTGCTGTGTGCATGGCTACTCCACCTGCTTGCTCATTGATTTCTTCTCCTTTCTCAGATTACCTGAACCCCGTGGAAGAGAACCCCTTCGTCTCCCGGCGGAAGAATGGAGATCTCCAAGCTGTGGACAACCCCGAGTACCACAACGCTCCGAACGGGCAGCCCAAAGCGGAGGACGAGTACGTGAACGAGCCCCTGTACCTCAACACGTTTGCAAACACCCTGGAAAACGCCGAGTACCTGAAGAGCAACCTGCCAGAGAAAGCCAAGAAGGCCTTTGACAACCCCGACTACTGGAACCACAGCCTGCCCCCGCGCAGCACCCTCCAGCACCCGGACTACCTGCAAGAGTACAGCACAAAATACTTTTACAAGCAGAACGGGCGCATCCGGCCCGTGGTGGCGGAGAATCCCGAATACCTCTCCGAGTTCTCCCTGAAGCCTGGCACTGTGCTGCCCCCGCCGCCCTACAGACACCGGAACACGGTGGTGTAGGAGCGCGCCGCGGCCGCCCCTTCCAGCCGCCGCGCTCCTGCTCTCTGCCCCCGTCCCCTTCTTCCTCCCGTGAGCTTCCTCTTCTCGCCCCTCCGCTCATTTTTGATATTTCCAAGTGAAAGGATGGCTTGGAGTCATTTGCAGATTGGGTTGGCAACCTGGAAGGAAGGAAGGGAAGAGGCCGAAAGGAGGAGGTGCAACTTGGCCTTTCTCACTCGCCGCAGATCCGGCGGGTCCGACGATCCCAGTGGAGCCAGTCGGGACAGTGTTGCCTGCTGTGGAGCAGGGCCCAGTGATCCAGCCCGACGCTGCCGGGAGGTCACGCAGAGCCTCTTTCTTTCGGCAGGAGCTCGTGAGAGTCTGTTCAGCATTCCTGGAAATCTTGATGCAGTTTCCAATGGGAGGGAAAAACATGGACAATTTTTATATCACGTGGGTAACGTAATAATTGAGATTGAGAATCCAGTTCCTTTCTCTAACACTTTCTACCCCAGCACCTGAAAATGGCTAACCTGGCTTTTCATAATCATTCAGATCCTCATTGTGGCCTTCCAAGAAATTATGATGTGACTCTAATATCTGGCTAACCCCTCACTCTGAGCCACACCATGATTTTGTGCCACCTCCTAACAACAGAGACTTTAACTCAAAACATGGGTGCATGACATGACCATTTTTGTACACGCATCAATACGACAAATACTTTGAACATACAAGTCCTTTCAGAAAAAGTTAACAAAAACACACCTCCAACGTGCTCTTTTTGAAGCTACAAGGCCAAGAAACCAGGATTTGTATGCAAAAAGCTTTGCTTTCCTGTTTTATACCTACTGAATATAGATATATAAAAAGACCCAAGCAGATTCTTCCCTCTTTTCCTTCTTGGTGAGCGTGAAAGTAGCTGGGGATGCTGCCAGGCAACGCTGAGGACAAGGTGGAAAGTGGAGAGCTCACTGTGGTCCACGGAGCTTGCTGGTGGTCTGTGGGGTGGTGGTGGGAAGGGTCCCTTAAACTGGAAGAGAGACACTGGACTGGAGAAAACGCACATAGTGGTTCACTGGAAAGTTAGTTTGCACTTAAGCTCTGATTTTATTTGAACTGTTTTCTGGATTTTGAATGAAGCAATATGGAAGCGACCAGCAAAATACAAAATAATACTTTTGAATTTTAAAAAAAAGTGAATTATATGTAAAGGATGACTGTGGAAATGCCAAAATGAAGCAAATCAAGTCTTTGGAACAGTGTCCAGCAGTTCTGAGAGGCCAGTGCGTTGACCATGTCGGAGGATACGGCGCGAGAGCGACCTGCTGCTGCTGCTGCTGCTGCCGCCGCCGCGCGGGCACAGCGAGCCCTGCGAGGGATCCGAGGAGGAAAACGTCTGCTCGGCCTTGCAGTGTGACACCGAATGCATCCTCTTGCTAGGAGGAGGATTCCTGTGGCACGGAAGATGGTGCCTAGGAGGGTTTGGAAGTCAAAACGTACATGACTTGCAGAGCGTGCAGTGAGAAGTGTAAACAAGTGCGAGTCAGTCTCCCTGCACTTGGTTCCGCTTTCATCAACCTCGGTTTTTACGTAGACCCCCCTCCCTCACCCTCCTCCTCCTCCTCTTGGCCAGTAGCTCCTTGCCAGAGCTGTGGCTGCTTTGAGCAACCCAAGCAGACGGAGTCGGGAAGGAAGGAGCGAGGGCAGCGATGCCGTGTCCTGCTCCTGCTGTGCCGAGACCCGCGGGGCAGGAGCGGCTGCTCTCCCAGCGCCCGCGGAAAAGCTGAGGCAGGAAGAACCCCGGAGGGCTCCCAGTCACCAGGGCTTTCCGGGGGGACGCAGCAAGGCTGGCGGCAGCGCAGGGCACGCAGCAGGAATGCAGTTTATGCACTTTAGGAGCAGTCAAGCAAGGACCTTGGGGCGACCCGGCAAGAGCAGCGGCAGCAGCCGCAGGCGGTCTGGGAATACCGTGGGCATTGGAGCAGAGCCGGCCTCCTGCAGCCCCAAGGAGGCCCGGGAGGAGGAAGCAGCTCCTCTTTCTCCTCATCCCGCCACGTGGAGCTGCCCCCATCTCGGTGCTGCTCGCAGGCTCGCTTTTCCAGGCCGGCGGCTTTGGGAGCGGCGGGATGGGGAGCTGGGGCAGAGCTGCAGGGCGGCCCGTCCCGCATCCCACGTTGCCTTCCAAGGGCTGGAGGCAGAAGCTGCTGGACAGGGAGGTGCCCAAGTCCAAGCGCTGGCGCCAGGAGGCGGCTCCTGAAGGAGGGGAAGGCCCCTGTGTCTCCTCCCACCAGTAAAACGATCCCCTTGAGTAATCAGGATAGAAATAATTGTGTTCCTTAACAATTTAACTAATTCTTAGGAAACTTGCAGTATTTATTCACTGTCACTGTTGGCGCTGGGCGTGACGTGCTCCGTGTGGCAGCGGGGCGATGCAGAGATCCCTGGAGCCGGCAGCTCCGGCTGCGACGCTCCCGGGCTGGAGGAGCCGGCGGGTCGGGCAGTGCCCGCGTGTCCCGAGGGCCAGCGGGAGTCAGCAACAGGAATCCGTGGGCATGGAAAACTCGGCGTCCCGCAGCGCAGCAGATGGGCATCGGCCGGGCTCAGCTTTTGCTTTGTGTGAGTTCTAGTTTGAGGGGCAGTCGCCAAGAGAAATCACTTTTTCACGCTAAGAACAGCAAAAATCAGCCCTTAGGTGGGTGCGCTGTCTGTGGAAGTTTTCCCCTGAGCTCCTTGGACAGGGTTTTGGATCCGTGAGTGGATCCATGGTTTGCATCCCCCCAGACGAAGGGCAGAGCCGTTTGGCTTCCTTAGCCTGGTAGGCACTGATACGTGGTGGCCTGAACTCGTGCATTAGCATTAGGGGTCACAGCTGCTGTTGTGGCAAAAATCAGGAAAATCCGGCTCGGAGGCGAACGTGCAGCCATCCCAAGTCAGGAGGGATGAAGGTCGGGCTGTTCGAGTGGCCCCCACAGGTTTCTGGGGAGAAGGCAGGTATTTTTCCACACGCGAGCTGTGTTTTGGCCAGCACGGAGCAGCAGAGATGTAAGGGCATCAGCAGAAGTGTTGTGTCGAGCGCCAGTTCATTCTGTTCCCACGGTGGTGGCATGGATTTCATTCCACCCTATGGACTTCACATGCACTCCCCTGCTTGCACATGTTTCCCTTTCCCTGCCACAGCAAGCACGGTGGCAGACGGGTGAAGAATTCCCAGGCGCCGATTCCTGCGTCGTTACCAGCCCTTGTCCCAAGGCACAAATGAAGGAGAACAACAGCTGAGGGTGTTTTCCCCCCTCGTCTCCCTCAGGGATATTTAACTTAGAGGTTATTTATCTACCTGTGGGTTACTGCAAGCAGACGTGGCTGGATGCTGGATTTGATTGATTTGCTATGACATGCTGACTGAAAGCAGACTGTTTCTGTGTTGCCTTTTCTCAGCTCTCTCAGTGCTTCTTTTTCCTACAGCCTGGCTAGGCTTTTGCTTTGGTCGGCTGTTCAGCTGTAGCAGGGTATTCACAGCTCGTCTGCATCCCTCACAGGGAGATGGAAATAAACCAAGGGAATAAATCCAAGAGCGTAGAGGCAGCGGGAGCTGCTCTGGGGTCTGCTCCAGGTACCCTGTGCTCAGCCCAGGAATCTTTGGGGGGAGAAGCGTGGTGGTTTGTACCCATGATGGAAAATGCCTCTCCTGGTGGGAAGAGTTGTGTGCAATAAGCCGCTCCCACTGATTTCTCTGGATTGCTGGGAAGCACGATTCCCGCGGCATCCCGCAGGGCTGAGCGCAGCCGGTGCCCAGGCCCATCCGCCGCCTGTTCTTAGCCACGGGAGCTGCTCCTGTGTCCTCACACGCAGCCGTGGGGCTGCGCGCTGCCTTGGGAACGTCGCTGTGCTCCCGTGTGAGCTCTCGGATGGAGCTTCCCTGTGGGGCGCTCTCCACATCGAGGCCTGTGCCAAGGAGCCAGAGCAACGAGCGGGATGGCGGGAAACGGAGCGCGTTATCCCGGTCGGTTAGGAAGTAAGCGGAGTCCGAGCTGCCTGGGTGGCTGCAGAGAGCTGCGGTGGAGCGCGGGGCTGCCTCAGCAGCGTGGACACGTCCCGGCCCCCTCCCTTCCCCGCTACTAAAGCCATGTGCTGCAGACGGGCGAGCGGCCCAGCGGCCGCCCCTCGCCTCCGTCGCACTCCCAAGACTGGACGAGCCCTTTTGGGATAACCACAGGAACAAGCTGTGAACGGCGTTTTATAAGTGTAGATACGTCGGCGTTCTTTTGAAGTAAGGTACTATGACATATGTAGCATAAACTGGTCCTGCTGTTAAATGGGTCGATTATTAACTGAGCAGCTGTGTGGGGGCAGCTAACGGTGAATGCGCCGGGAAGGGCCGGGCGCCGTGGGGCCGGCCGCGCCGCGGGCACGGGATGCGGGGGGCGGCTTGGGAATGGCAGCGCTGGGAACTGGTGCACGTTCGCTGCATCGTTCCTCAGGGGTTTCATCCGGTTTTGCTCTCCCCGCGTTTTTTGCAATTTCCCCCAATTTATAATGCTGAATTTCGGCAGCAGTTGCAGGCCTGATGGCGGCGGGGAAAAAAATGAAGGAAAATGGGTAGACTTTTCCTTGCAACCCCCCAGACTGCAGCCATCCCAAGCACTTGTTCTGGCCCGCGGCTCCCTGAGCACGGACACATCCCCTGCCCCGCGATGACGGCGCCGAGTCCGTGCCCGAAACCGGTGCCGGGACGGAGCCGCCGCGAGGGGCGGCCGGGGAGCCCCGGGACGCGCGGGGTGCAGAAACGGGCCCCGTTCCGGCCCCTCGAGTGTCCCTCGGCCATGGAAGGAAGGGGCTCGCGGCGGGGGAGCCGTCGTGGCCCGCGAGGCAACGCGCCGCATTCAGGGTTAGCTGCCTTTCTGAAACAAAAACCCACAAAAACTACTGTATGTTACTTTGAAAATGTGAATAGTATTTTTATAGCTTGTTAAAGACACAGCTAGTTGCGTTTGTAAATAAGGATAATGTTGCTTTTCCTCTCCTCGTGGACACCATTATTTGGAACATAATTGTCCTTAGGGTTGATTTGTATATAGGTAATTTGCTTGTGATTCTGCCTCCGCCGCCCTCGCGCCCTGGGCCCGGCTCGGAGCCCCGTTTCGGGCCCTCGTGTGACTCCGTGTTTAGCACTGTCGTGGTGTGTTCAGCCTCTCTGCACTTGCTTTTGCCGTAGGGTTTGCCAGTTGTGCGTGGCGTAACGTCACTTTAACCTTTCCTTTTCTCATCCTTTAGCCACCGAGGATTATGCACTGTTAGAACACTGACCTGGGTTAATGTTAGGTACATAATTTAGCATAATTTCCCTTCTCCTCATGGTTTTGGGTTTCTTCTTTCTCGGTTGTTTTTCTCCTCCCGTCCTTCCCTCCCCGTCCGCCCCGTTTGGCGGCCGGGGAGGAACCCGTGGACCTTCTTCCCCGTGTGGTTTGGTCCCCGCCGCGCGCAGTGCCCAGTCCCCCCGCGCCCGGGCTAGAGCTTCCCCTGTTCGTTAGGGCAACGTAGGCTGCGACCCACCGTGCATCGACCCGCGCTCCTCCCAGCTGAACGATTTGAAAACGGTTCTGCCTTTTTGTTACATGAATCTGTCAGAAATATATTTTTAATTTAATATAAATGAAATTCAATAAAATACGAAACAAACGTCGCCGCCTCCGCGTGAGCTTCCTCGCGCGCGCCCCAGGGAGCCCCTCAGCCGCGGGGATGAACAGTGAAGGTCGCTCGGATGGGGAGGAAATGTCCCTTTGGAAGTGCCCCCATCTCCCCCCAGGGC